GAGGGAAATCAGTGATGTAGGATGAGGAACGTTGCCAGGATTTGATTGAGGTGTCATTACCACATTGTAAAAAAAAGATTTTCTACCACTAACAGCAGGGAGTAGTTGAATACCTCTGTGTATCTGAATATTTGGACATACCACTGGGTGACAAGAAACTGACAGTTCAACTTTGTAAATAAAGACAGAATCTAACTTCTTACTACTTGGGCAGTCAGATCAAGACTTGCATAGGCACTTTAACATTAATCTGATTTTCTAGAATAAAAGGAATTGTGAGCCCATTGCTTCCGACACTTTTACAGTGCATTTCTACCCACCAATCATTTCTTAATCCCCTTTAATACTGGTTGCTAAAACAGACAATATTGCTCAAGTTTTTGAAGAGATCTGCATAATCAAAGATAAGAGATACTCTGGACTTGTTTCTCAAGACTTAATCTAAATATTATTCAGCTAGTTTCCATCTGCAAAAACAAAACCCAATCAAACTGCTCCCCCACATATTACCAAAATTCTAAAGCTGCCTACTAAAATGGTCATATAGCCATCTCTGAGAGGACTGTTCTGTATGTTATGAGCAGGTGCTGCCCTCTTCTGGAAATTTCTTTTTGATTTGTGTAAGTGATTTTGTCGTCTTTGCATCATTTACATTTTCACTGACTATAGTAAAGATTTCATTGGCATGAAAATGGACTTTACAATTTCCTAATCAGGATAGGGCTCTTCAAAATTATGAAAGGGATTGATTGAAGCCATCACATACATTAAGATGTTGGTGAGCTTTGGAAGTATACGAGAAAAATGGAACTCTGAGCAAGTAAAAAATTAAGGTAGAACTGATTTACAGAGAAAGACAATCATATGGAATAAGATGCAAGAAAAAGCAAGCTCTCTTAAAAATGTTAACCCTAAACATTATGAAAAACCTCAATCTGCCAAGGTACAGAGGACCTCCTGAGAAATGTTAATTGCTTTCAACTCGTTGTGATAGCTCTGGAAGTGGAAGATACCCAGGGCCTGATCTAAAAGGTGTTGAGCACCCACGGTTCTCCTGATTTCAACTGGAGGTTGGATGCTCAGCACTTCTGAAAAGCCAGGCCCATTATTAGGGTAAAGGTTCAAAGAGGGCCCAGAGTGAAAGGAGTTGGAAAGCCTAGGACCTTCTGCATTCTGAGGAAGGAAGGCAGCAGCAGAGACAGAGGAGCCCAGCAAAAAAGTAGGAAGGCAGCATTACCTGATTTGTAATTTAGAAGAACAGCACTGATTGGAAGAGGACAGAACTGACTGGATTGGGAGGGATGAAGATGAGTGAATAGAAAATGAACACGCATGGCTTTGGGGGAAATGATGTGGCAGGACTTTTCCAGTTTGCTACTAGACTTATGATTTGGGCAAGGTGGTATTGGGAAAATTTTTATAAGCCCTGGAGCAGAGATGAAGTTGCTGTGAGAGTTTTACTCAGAATCAGGCCTTAATTTCACAAGAGTCAGAAAATGATCAGTGCAGAGTGCCCTCGGTATTCCCAGTGACCTCTTTCCAAAGCTAGCTCCTTTGCTTCTGCTACCTCATCACTCCTCAGGCTTTCCTGAGTCCTGATCATGTAGAAGGCACTGGGGCCTCCTAGCTAATCCTCTCTATCTGGGCTCTTTGCTCCTCTTGCCCCCTCCCCACCCCATGCACTGAAAAGATTGCCAGCTCATGAGCCACTCTCCACAATGCCTTTCCCCCTTCACGCCTGTGAAAGACGTAGTGGTTCCAACTTCTTAGATCTCTGCTCCCTTCCTCAAAAGGGACTAGCAGCATGGAGGATGATCTGCCCCCTCATCTGCTGTCAGAAAAGGAGCAAGTAGCGTTGGAGCCTCATTCAGCCCACTCTCCAGAGAAAAATCCCCACTTACCCTGGGCAAGCAGGTTTTTCTAAACCCTGTCATGCTCCACTGTACATATGTATTATAAGGGGTCCTCCATTCTATGATCATAGAAACGATGCATTAATACAAAATCCTGCATTACAGAATATGCAGCCAGGGTTATAAGAATTGGCTAGATGCAGTGCAAGTAACACTGAGAAAAACTGCTCTAAATAGAAAAGATTAATGGACAGAACTAAACTAAGCATAGTACCTATCTTTAAAGTGGGGAACAAAGAACCTGGGAAATTACAGCCTAGTCAACCTAACTTAGATAGCTGGACAGTTATTGGAACACATTATTAAACAATCAATTTATAAGCACCTAGAAGATAACAGTGATAATAGTCAGCATGGATTTATCAAGAACAAATTATGCCAAACCAGCCTAATTTCCTTCTTTGACAGAGTCTCTGGCCTAGTAGCTAGGCAGGTGTGACACAGTGCTAGCTGTAGCAGTCTGGTCACTGAAGTAGCTGCAGCACAGAGAAGGCTGTAGGCTTAATTGTAGCCACGCAACCTGTTTCTAGTGGGAACTACTGACACTGGGTGGTAATTGCTGGGGCTAATGAGAGAGTTGGCTCAGTAATCAGGAGGATATGTAACTGGGAGGAACAGGAAGCAGGGGGAAGCTCAGAGAGAGTGGAGGACAGAAAGCTGTGTGAATGGCTCCTCCTGCTGTACACTTGTGCCAGGGTCTGTCCTGTTCGGAAAGAGACGATTAGAGGTGCTCATGGTGGAAAAGAAACAGACTGTGTGTTTGTGGCAGAGACCATGAAAACAGGCTAGGCAGTGCGGCTCACTGTGTAGCTGAAGGAGCACCCTGTGACGTGGGAAGCAGCAGATGTGATACATCTTAATTTTAGTAAAGCTTTTGACACAGTCCTACATGATGTTCTCTCAAACTAGGGAAATGTGGTCTAGATGAAATTACTATAAGGTGAGTGCATAACTCTTCGGAAAAAAACACACTCAGAGTAGTATCAGGGAGGACATATCAAGTGGGGTCCAGCAGAGGATCTGTCTGGTACTATTCAACGTTTTCAGTAATGACTTGGATAATGGAGTGGAGAGTATGCTTATAAAATTTGGAGATCACACCAAGCTGGGAGGGGTTGTAAGCACTTCCGAGGACAGCATGAGAATTCAAAATTATCTTGACAAATTGAAGAACTTGTCTGAAATTAACAAAATGAAATTCTAGAAAGAGAAGTGCAAAGTATTTCTTAGGAAGGAAAAAATCAAACACACATATACAAAATGGGGAATACGTGACGAGGTGGCAGTACTGCTGAAAAGGATCTGGGGGATATAGTGGATCACAAATTTAATATGAGTCAATGTGATGCAGTTGCAAAAGAGGCTAGTAGTTTGGGGTGTATTAACAGGAGCGTCATATACAAGACACAGGAGGTAACTGTCCCGTTCTACTCAGCAATGGTGAGACCTCAGCTGGCGTACTGTGTCTAGTTTTGGGCACCATAATTTAGGAAAGTTTTACAGAAATTGAAGACAGTCCAGTGCAGAGCAACAATAATGGTAAGAGATTTAAAAAAACGGACCTATGAGGAAGGGTTAAAAAAACAGGCATATTTAGTCTTGAAAAAATAAGACTGGGAGGGACGGGACCTTATAAGTCTTAAAGAGGATAGTGGTCAATTGTTCTCTATGTCCACTGAAGGTAGGACATGAAGCAAAGAGTCCAGCGGAGGGCAACAAAAATGATTAGGGGTCTGGAGCACATGACTTATGAGGAGAGGCTGAGGGAACTGGGATTGTTTAGTCTCCAGAAGAGAAGAATGAGGGGGGGATTTGATAGCAGCCTTCAACTACCTGAAGGGGGGGTTCCAAAGAGGATGGAGCTTGGCTGTTCTCAGA